TTATTTTTGTTGTTGCAGAGGAACGACATTGCCATGGCCATCACCAAATTTGATCAATTTGATTTCCTGATCGATATCGTGCCCAGGGATGAGCTGAAACCTCCAAAAAGGCAGGTGAGAAACAAAAATTCTGAATTTTTTTATTTTTCTCAGCCTGATAAAAAACCAAATAACACAGATTTAAACGTGAGGTTTGTTCTGCTCTTTTTTAAATTTCCTTTGGTTTTTCAGGTTCTTAAATTCTTTAATTTAATGTCTTTAAATTCTTTAATTTTAAGGGTTTAAATTCTTTAATTTCATGCTTTTAAATTCTTTAATTTCAAGAGTTTAAATTCTTTAATATCATGGTTTCAATACTTTAATTTCAGGTTCTTAAATTCTGTAATTTAATGTCTTTAAATTCTTTAATTTCATGCTTTTAAATTCTTTAATTTTAAGGGTTTAAATTCTTTAATATCATGGTTTCAATACTTTAATTTCAGGTTCTTAAATTCTGTAATTTAATGTCTTTAAATTCTTTGATTTCAAGTTCTTAAATTCGTTAATTTAAAGAAGGTTCTTAAGTTCTTTCATTTCAAATTTTTAAATTCTTTTATTTCAAGCTTTTAAATTTTTAAATTTCAGGTTCTTAAATGCTTAAATTTCATGGTTTTAAATTAAGAACAAATTATTATTTGTTCTTAAATTCTTAAATTTCATGGTTTAAAATTATTTAATTTCGTGTTCTTAAATTCTTTAACGTCATGCTTTTCAATTCTTTACTTTCAAGAAGGTTCTTAAGTTCTTTCATTTCAAATGTTTAAATGCTTTCAAGTTTTTAAATTTTTAAATTTCATGGTTTTAAATTCTTTAATTTTAAGGGTTTAAATTCTTTAATATCATGGTTTCAGTACTTTAATTTCAGGTTCTTAAATTCTTAAATTTCAAGTTTTTAAATTCTTTAATGTCGTGTTCTTAAATTCGTTAGTTTAAAGAAGGTTCTTAAGTTCTTCAATTTCAAATGTTTAAATGCTTTCAAGTCCTTAAATTTTTAAATGTCAGGTTCTTAAATGCTTAAATTTCATGATTTTGCATTATTTAAGTTCGTGTTCTTAAATTCTTATATTAAATATAAGAAATAAGAAATAATTTAAATTTCAGATTCTTAACTTCTTTAATGTCATGCTTTTCAATTCTTTACTTTCAAGAAGGTTCTTAAGTTCTTTCATTTCAAATGTTTAAATACTTTCAAGTTTTTAAATTTTTAAATTTCAGATTCTTAAATTCTTAAATTTCAAGTCTTTAAATTCTTAAATTTCAAGTTTTTAAATTCTTTAATGTCGTGTTCTTAAATTCGTTAGTTTAAAGAAGGTTCTTAAATTCTTTAATTTCAAGTTTTTAAATGCATTGAAGTTTTTAAATTCTTTAATTTCAGGTTCTTAAATGCTTAAATTTCATGGTTTTAAAATTATTTAAGTTCATGTTCTTAAATTCTTTAATTTCAGATTCTTAAATTCTTTAATTTCATGATTTTAAATTCTTTAATTTTAAGGATTTAAATTCTTTAATATCATGGTTTCAGTACTTTGATTTCAGGTTCTTATAATTCTTTCATGTCGTGTTTTTAAATTCATTAGTTTAAAGAAGGTTCTTAAGTTCTTTCATTTCAAATGTTTAAATTCGTTCAAGTTTTTAAATTCTTAAATTTTTAAATGTCAGGTTCTTAAATTCTTAAATAAAAATAAAATTCTTAATAAAATATAAAAATTGAGAAATCAAACTAAAACCCACTGGGATTTTTGTGAAAATAAAAATTTCATGGAAACCACAACGAACCAAACCCTGCACACTTCTGATCCAGAATGGAGCCAGCAGGGGAAGAATTAACTTGGAAAAAAATTTAATTTTTTGGTACATTTTGGGTTGAAAATCCCTTTTTTGAATATTTTCGGGCAGTCAATGCCTCTGTAAACATCCTTGACTGGAAGCTGGAAGGTTCTGGAAGGAGCTTTCAGTCGGATGTTTGCAGCCGCAGGCTGCTGCTCTCACTGGGATTCCTCACCTCTTCCTGCAATTTCCCTGCTGGATAAAACCTCTGGAATCCCCTCAAAG